AGCGCCCCCCCCCCCATTTCTCAGTTGCGGGGAGGAATGGGGTGGGGGTGTAAGCTCGATGTAATAAGCCAGACTTAATCGAAGGGATTGCGTATTATTACTGGGCACACGACCTGTCTGTTACCATAAGGATGAGGTTCATTCCTCGGTCCATTAGGCTCGGCTAATGGGACGACTGCAACGGTCGCGAGCCGCTTACGCGTTGGACGTGTGACATTGCGCACCCGTGGTAACGGGAGGAGCGGAGGAGGTAGGCCGAGCCAGGACCGATTCCAAAATAATCGAGAAATCGAGAAATAAGATTACCGTCCAGCGACTCACGGTCCAGCGGCGCATTGTCTCGACGCGCTCGACGTCCACCTAGCCGTTTCAAATTCTAACGAAAGGACCCGACCAAATTACACGGCTCACGGATCAAGGCCGTGGATGGGCGCGTAGCTTAAACGGACCATCGCTTGACTGTAAAGGACACGTTGCGTTGAGCGGTCATACGCGGAAAAGGAAGGGCAGTCCCGGTAAAGTCGAGAACGCGCTAGCCTTTCGTCGCTACAGCATTAGGCGACGGTAATAATCAGGTAATATTGGTCGTATCTCCCTCTCCCTCGATCACCGTTTTCAGCCTTGGCCTAATGCTCGGCGCCTCCTAATGGTCCTTTAAAAGTCGACTCGTCTTTAATCATCGGCGCGCCGGGCGCGCAACTTTGTACTAAAGGCACGAGCGGTAGCGTAGGAGGCCACGCGCGAGCTAACCTCGCAGGAGTCCCAGGTATAGAAGGCCGCGCCGGGAAGATAAATGGAACAAACGAGGGTTGGTATAATTAGAGTCGGCGAGTCCTACATCGGTGACGTAGCCGTCGACCTGACACGAGGGGCATTCGCATGGCCGACGGATCTGTCCATCTCGGTCTGTCTCCTCCTCCTCCTCCTCCTCCTCCTCCTCCTCCTCCTTCTTCTTCTTCGGCCAACATCCGGTTTCCCTGGATTGTGTGTCTGTGTGGACGACGATTCGCATGGTGATGCGAGGCTCCGGGGGCAGGCGGACGAAGAGGACGGGGCAACGGATGAGAGAGGACGAAAGTTGAGGCGTCATTCGTGCAGGGCTTTCGCACAATCAATTAACCGGGATGACTAATTTCTTTTCTTTTTACGGGGCCCGCGGCTCGTTCTTCTCCCCCCCCCCCCCCCCCGCCCCCGCCCCCCCGGCCCCTCCGACAGGCCCACCGAACAAGGCGGACGTTCGATGTAGGAGAGTCGCCGAGTAGCTGACCGAGTGATCGAGGCTTGACATTCATTTTTTGCCTCTGGCTTTTAGTTTTTGCTCGGTGGACGTGCTTTTACGCGCGCTAGCACCCGGAACATTACGAATTATCCTTAGTTTGGGCGTCGACGCGACTATTGGATAAATTGCGCCTTAAATGTATTTTTAGATGAGTTTCGGATATCCCGATGATTTACGGTCTTTTGCCAATTTACAATTTTAATACCATCATCATTTTTTTTCTTTTTCTTTTTCTTTTCTTTTGCCAAAGGATTATAATTGTGCGCAGCATCAACGTGACGTTTACACAGTATAACGGGTTGGCGATTGTTATGGAGCCTCGATGCACAGTCCCGATCGACTTAATAACGCGACCTAAGCCACTCGGAGTAACTTTATTGTAAATTTTATTGTATTTTATGGCAGAGAGAGAGAGAGAGAGAGAGAGAGAGAGAGAGAGAGGGGGAGAGAGAGAGAGAGAGAGAGAGAGAGGACATGCTGGATGAATCCTACAACTTCATTATAATGGAAAAACGAGGACTGTTAGTGACCGAGGGGGGAGCACTCGCGGATTTTAATAAAGAGGCGTCGTGGAAGTGTAGGCGACAGCTTGGTGGAATGAGATAACGACGATGATGAACGAACGGTCCGACCGGGAGATTCGCCAGAGCTGTGTGGCGTCGTGCTACGACTCACCATTCGAGGAGACGGAGACGGTGTCGTGATGACTGGCGTCGCTATCCTCGTCGACGTTACTATTGTTCAGCGATGATCTCGACTGATGCCTGATACTGAGATCCCTAGGCGTCGAGGGTGGACTGGCCGGTGGCTCCTGGCTCTGTAGGCTCGAGGGGCTCGACGCTCCCGCAAGTATGTCCGTGATCATGAATCTCGATCTGTGAGGCATCGTCGTCGAGGCGTCTCCCCTCTCGAGACTATTATTGTTATTGTTGTTATTGCTGTTGTTGTTGTTGTTGTTGTTGTTGTTGTTGTTGTTGTTATTGTTGTTGCTGCTGGCGCTACCGGCGTGGAGACTAATGCCGAGGCCGATTGGGTTGCGGGAGTCGAGGCCGTTGCTCAACCTCTCGAGGCCGAGGCCGTTCCTCTCGACGATGCCATCGAGACCACGGTGCGCCTCCAGGTTCGCGGACATGCGGCTAAGATTGAGCCCGTTCCCGGCGCCGTTGGCCAGAGCGATGCCACTGAGCGCGGCCACGTGGTGGTTCGGTCGATGATGATGGACCGTCATCTCGGGGCTTAGGGTGTCGCGGCCAGCTCCAGCTGCCGACGGGGCGGCTGCCTCTGTCGCGGGCAGCCCAGGACTCGCTCGATAGCCGGGAGACAGAATCTTGTCGCCGATCGATGCCTCGGTCCTCCTCGTCGTCGAGCTCTCCCAGGGCCGATCAGCTAATATCCACCGATCGATGTCCCCGCATCAGCATGCCTCGGCCAATTAGCCGCACGTGGCACTAGCTAAACGTCGTTCTCGCGCTCTCTCGCTCGTTGGCCACCGTCGATCTGCACCGCGAGCGGGAACGCGCACTTCCGGGCCACGGGCACTGATCAATAATAACGGGGCCCTGACGGCGCCCGAGCTGGCCCACTTAACGAGACCCACCGCACGGGTCGCACAAGAGTCATCCGGACGTCACGTGCCCAGGGTACATGGCGCGCGTCAGCTGGGCATAATCGGGCCCGCGGCTCCTCAACGCTCTACTCGCTCTGGCTTCGGGCTGGTGCGAGCGCGGTGCATCGACGGCCTCCTCTCCTCGCTAACTTCGCCACGCGACTGAGACACGAGAGCGGCCGACGCTCGCAGCGAGGCCCGCGCTCCCGCCGGTCGGCCATGTCAAAGTGGCTCCGGCCACGCCCATCGGTATCCCCTCCCGTGTCGCTCGCGGGCCAATGGGACCGCGTCACCGGGCCCGGAGCGGCGAATCCGGCACCTCGCCCCAAGGACACGCCCCGGCAATTCCGAATGTGTTTCAGCGGTAATTTGATATAAAATTGTAGTTAATATCTTTCATTACGGCGCCGCTCCGTGGGGTTTGGGGGGGTGGGGGACAAGCCGCGCGGATGATCGGGAGAGCGAAGGGTGCACTTGACGCTACGGCTGTTCTATTTGGTTCGCGCGCCAGCTTGGTTGGAGCAGACCGGCTGGCGCTCGTAGTGGGAGAAGTGGTAAAGCGACAGGGGCCGAGGCGAGGCGAGAGGGAGCGCGAGAGCGTGGACCGGGAAAGGAAATTGCGCTGGTGTGCCGCCGCCGGAGAGTAGAAAGAGGGCTGATACGAGGGAGTCGTCCGTACCGAATTCTCCTTCTACTTCGCAGGCTCTGCATTTTTATCTCGCTCGCTCGCTCGCTCGCTCCCCCTACGATTTAACGAATCCCATAGCTCGAATCGTGCTCCTCCAAATCCTTGCTTTCTCTGCCCCGCCAGCTTTATTCGCTTTTGTTCTTCCAACTAGCTCTCTCCCTCTCACCGTCTCACCCTCCCGCCCTCCATATCGCCCTATCTCTCTCTCTCTCTCTCTCTCTCTGTCCGTCTCTCGTCTTTTTTCTTCGTGCATGGGTAGACGAGCGAGCTGCTGCTAAGGAGCTAAAGAGCAACTGGCTTTTTGCTGCAACGACTCGTATCTATGTGCGCGTTTGTGCGCGCGCAGCCCAAGAACGCTATTATTGTGGACGAAATCGATGCTCTTGAAAATCTATATGGACGTCGTACAACCGCCCTTTCCTTTAATTAAAAAGAGCCGAGTGCCCGAGCGTTCGACCTCTTTATAAAATTAAATGCCACAGTCGTTACAACTGCTACTCACGTATATGCATGCGCACATGGGCTTTTGACTCTTTTATCACGTACGAATCCTTTATTTTCCTTATCGTTGACTTTCTGATTGCTCGGCTCGGTTCGGCTCAGCTCGGCTCGACTGGTGCAAGAGCCGTAGCGTGCTATCGAATTGTCCGGCTTTCCGTCACACAATGACAACGTCATTAACCACATTAATAATTCGATGCGGTCCTGCATGTATAGTAGTGCGCGAATCGGTGAAAGATGACGCCCTCATTGTCAAGCAGCACTGAACTATGAAGGCGATCTTGACCATCTGCACGTACGTGACTCACGCTTTCTATTATTTTCCATTATTTACCTTTTATAATGCATATCAACAAAGATCACCAATCTCTTTCGGATTTACATTCATGCCACTTATTATTTATAATAATAAGCCCCGCTGGCTGCAGAAACTTTTTCGTTCGTTGATTCAAGTTGTCGAGAGATACGATCACACGGCCCATAGTAATTTGTAAAATTCCATCGTACTCGTGAATGTCCGCTAATTCGTGAAAGTCCGCCCAACGGTCGCGCGTACTCACCACATCTCCAAGAGGGAAAAATTGCCTATTTCGGTGCTGGGGTATATTTCGGTATATTTCGGTCATCGTGAGTACAGCGATGACTGCCCCGTCCCTCCCACTCTCCCCCACCCCCCTCACTCCATAGCTCTCATTCTTTCTCTACTATCATTACTCTCTACTCTGTTTCTCTCTCTCTCTCTCTCTCTCTCTCTCTCTCTCTCTCTCTCTCTCTCTGTTTTAACATAGAGGACGACGTGGACAGAAACGAGCCGCTAATGATACATTTGGCCTGGCAAGCTGGTGAGCATAAGAGTGATGCATCAGACCCGAATGAGCAGGAGCGATTTGGTTCACTGCAGATGCAGCGATGAAATTAAATTAGCCGCGAGACAGTAGGCAAGAATGAGTGGAATTATCGAAATTAGGGGTGGCGACATCATTTAATTTGGGGGTGTCCGATCTTGGTCACAGATAGAGGCCTGTGTCGACGCATACGCATGGGCGCGTGTCGTCTTTGTCGCACATGCCCATATGGCACTTTGTGTAAAGTAGACGCACGCTCCGCTGGCTCTTGGCCTAATTAACATAAAATATCTTTGGCGCGTCGAGCGTGTTAGCCTAGTGGGCTAGTTCGGGCCGATTGCATATCAATGCCGCTTTAAGCATCATGTGGCGCAAGATAAGGGCCTCGCTTTTTAATTTGTTGCATGAAAAAGGAGAGCGACTGGCCGAGGCATGGGCAAACATTGAGAGCGAGTGTCCAAATAAAGTGACGACGTATGACGAGGAACAAAGAGGTCACACGAGGTCGTATCACTTAGTATTATTAGAGTGTCCACTCCTCGCCATTTGCCATTTCTTACTATATAATTGAAGAACTTTTGATACATTCGATTACGTTCGTGACCATTACGACCTTGATACGTTGATACTCCGAGTTATGCCCGTCCGTGATTTAATGCCAACCGAGCGCAGGGCAATTAATACGTTTAATAAGCATCTAAAAATACGATTTTAATGCTTGAGAAAAGGGATGTAGGCGCTTACGGCAATAGGCGACGCGATTTCATGCAATTCAAACTAGCAGCTACAGTAATAAAATTTGCTTTACACACTTGCGGAAATTTAACCGGCAATTATAAATTAAATGCTTGTTCAATCGCCTACAACCTGATAAAGAATTGTCAAATTCAAATGATAATTTTACTGCGACTATGAAGTAAGCGCTCGGAGCTATTACGAATTAAATATTAATAAAATGGCAATCGCGTATACAAATCACTACGATTCGTGATTATTGTCGTTTGCAGTATTACCAAGAAATTTACAATTGATAAATATTCAGTGAATACGAAGATGGGCGGGTAAATTGCATCGGCAGTAGTGGCCATTGAAAGCAGCGTACTTAATCTATCAATCAACCTCTCCTCGAAACGCTCGTTTCCCATCGCTCGCTTCCAATCGTCAAATCGCCACGCAACTCTACCTATATTTTCAAATTGCGTGGCACCGTTGGCACCGACGGCACAAAACGCCGGAGAGCCGCAGTCACGGGAAAGAAGGGGTGATTGAGCTAATGAGGGCGGCCCGCGGCGCCAAACTCGAAATGTCGGCCGGCAGCTGGAAAGTCCTCGTTGGGCCGATTGACGCTGTGCGCGGGCGTTACGCGATCGGCGGCAATGCGCGGTGTCCCAGCGGAGCCTGTAATGCAGACGCGAAGGCGTGACACACACGTAGCCCGCAAAAACCCAAGTGCCGCCTATTCCCGGGGCGCGCTTCCGTCCGGTCCGACCCGAGACACGCACTTCCACGCACTTACACGCACTTACACGCACTTACACGCACAACCACGCACAACCACGCACAATCACGCAAAACCACACATGCCTTTATAGTGGGAATTACATTAATTTCGAGTTCATTATTGCGAGATGTCGATTTAGCATATGAGGGAAGAGAGTTTTATTGGCATTGGCGAGTGGCCGTGGCGGCCTTACCGTAATTGCCTCGCCAGCTTTCCATGCTGAGGGCTCGGTTGAAGAAAACCGAAAACCAGCTGGCTTTTACACCTCTTATCGCGTGTTACTCCCATTGCCGTTTCCTCACCTCGAACAGATCCAAAGTGTTGGAACTATCCTTGGTCGGCTTGAGGGATGCAACCTTTCTTGCCGGGCATTTGCGCCGACGGGCGTGGTTATGTGGTTTGGCATAATCGCGTGATTAAGGGGGCTTGTTAGGGAGCGAGCGATTATTGGGTCGTGGCGAAGGAAAGTAAGGAGTCGCGCGATAATTGGAAATCAATTGCAAAAATGCCTGAGAGGCGACCTTGTTTATTTTAACGGACTCTCGATGCAGGCAATTACTCGACCACGGCAATTGTATATTTTATCGCGTTGGCATGCATCGCCTTAACTTTTACACGGCTAATTCTAAAAAGTAACAAGGCTGTAGTTATCGTCGATACTCTCTTAAAAAATAATAATAATAATAATAAACAATAAACGAATAAATAAATAAAAAACAATAAAAAAAAAAACTTTCGTTCAACGTTTGAAAGTCTAATTACATGTTGCGAGTTAATAAGATCTTATTATAAATCTAGCACTGGAAGAGATAGACGTACATCTGTTCATTGCCGCCCTTTTTTTTTACTTATCCTGTTTATCATAGCCCGTGTTCCTTGCCATAATCGTAGTGGTAGTTGTAAGTCAACCGAGAACTTGGTTGGGCTGCGCGTACGTGTGCATAAATGCACCATGTGCATTTATTGCGCGCGCGTGCGACTTACCGCTGCAAAAGTGGAAACGTTCTTTCGATCGTTAAATATACATGAGGGGTGGTCGTGTAGATTTGAGTGAGCTTGAAAGAGAAAGAGTGCGCGAAGGAGAAGGAAGGTCAGAGAAAGAGGGGATATCGAAATAGCCAAGTGAAAAGTACATATTTTATTGCAGTTGCAACTCTGTAATGTATGTATACACATAAGAGTGGGTACGGGTAGGATTAGAATTTGAAAATCTGATGGTTGTATCTTAAGTACGATATGAATGTTTTAGCTTTTATGTACACATTTCTCCCTTCTCCCTCACTCTCTCTCTCTCTCTCTCTCTCTCTCTCTCTCTCTCTCTCTCTCTCTCTCCCGTTTTATTCTATCAGATTGGTTTGACATCCGGACTGATTAATAGCCACTTGTTAATTAAAACCATTAGAAATTACTCGTACATACTACGCTTTTGCATATTTTTAATATCAAAATTATAAAAAAAAATGCAAGATTCTAACGTTCGTTTAAGTTTTTTTGCTTACTATTGTTTATCAAATAGTTGCACAATTGGATTATACAAATACTTTAGATGCTTCGCGCAATTAAATACGTAAAATTAATTATAGTTGCAATGATGTTATTGAATACGCATGCAG